CACACACTTAAAGGGAGAGAGATGGGTGGCTGTGGGTGTTGGGGGTGGGGCTTCCCCCGCCGGCTAGGCCGGGGGCGGGTAGAACCCCCAAAAAAACGGGGGACCCCTGGCAAACCGGGGGGGTTTGGCAACCCTAAATGGGAGAGTGGTTGGAGAAATAAGAATGGATCATGTGGCCGATGGGTGAAAGAAGTAAAAAAGAGAAGAGAGGTAAAACAATGGATAGACAGGCCAGGCGAGGAGAGGAAGTGGAGGAAGCTACAAAAGGGGGGGAGTGAAAAAGTGAGGAGGAAACCGGGTATGTGAACAGTAGGGTCGCCAGATCTGAGCTGGAAAATACCTGGAGACTTTGGGGGTGGATCCGGGCGAGGGCGGGGCTTGGGGAGGGGAGGGGCCTCGGCATGGTCCATTGCCACAGAGTCCACCCTTCAAAGCAGCCATTTCCTCCAGGGAAGCTGATCTCTGTCAGATGGAGATCACCAAGCCCCACCGGGAGGCTGGCAACCCTCGTGAACAGAGAAGTTTGGGGAGCAATAGGTAAGTGGCTGAATGTAGATGGGATGAGGGACAGGGGAGGGCTCGAGCCCCCTCACTTACTTGGCCTCCTCCAGTTCCTCCGTCCTCTGGATGGCGTCCGTCTCGTACTTGGTCCTCCACTGAGCCACCTCGGAGTTGGCCTTGGAGAGCGATCGTTGAAGCTCTGCCTTGGCCTCCATCTCCTCCTCGTACTGCTCCCGCAACAGGTCGCAGTCGTGGCGGGCCGACTGGAGAGCGTGCGCCAGAGCATTCTTGGCCTGGGGGTGGGGGGGGGAGGGAAGCGTCATCTCTCGGTGGCCTTCAGTCCCTACCTGGCTCGTTTCGTCCTCTTCTCTGAGCTCGGTTCACCCATCCCGACCTACGACCTCCATGTGTTCCTTGCCTTCGCCTCTTCCTCCAGTTGCCTCTTTAGATCTTCCAGTTGTTGGGTATAGGTCAGCTTCCCTCGTGTGAGCTGGTTTATCAAAGCGTCCTTTTCATCCAGCTGGCGGGACAGTTCCCCTAAGAAGAAGAAGAAGAACAGTCATTTTCTTTGCTTTGAAGCGGAGGGATTCACTTTCTCAAGGCAGATCCCCTTCCTTCTGAGACAGAGTTGTCAATGGAGTTCATCCGCGTGGGCCACCATCTGGGAGAGGCCCTGAAAGGATTCAACTTGCAACCTGTCTGATCTATCAGTTTACATTCCAAGATGGCACCACCAAAGGCCAACGCAAGGTTCTCCAGACCGGATTGCAAAGTAGTGGTTAACAGATTTTATTCTTTGTTCATCTTGAGTCAAGACAAAAGGCTCAGGCCACGCATGTATCCAGTTTTTGGAAAATATCACAGTGGACATCCACAGTGGTGGGCTCTCTGCCGAAAAACATTAGGAAATTTTAGGAAAATTTTAACACCACCTTTGGTCACTGCTGTGTTTTATTAGTCTTAATTTGCTTTTAATAATGTTTATGCGTCTGTGCCTGGTTTGCCAGTTGTACGGCTGTGGATAGGAAAGCACTCCAGAGAGTTATCATCACAGCCCAGAAGATTATTGGCTGCCCTCTCCCGTTCCTGGAGGAATTGTATAGTTCTCGATGTTTGAAAAAAGCAAAGAACATTTTGCAGGATTTGTCACACCCTGAACACTCCCTGTTTGAACTGCTGCCTTCGGGTAGAAGATATAGGACAATTAAAACAAGGACAAACAGATTAAAAAATAGTTTTTATTCGAGAGCTATTATTGCTTTAAATGCTGTATGAAATTGGAATTTGGGTGACATTGGTGGTTTAAGTTGCAATGTGAACCTTAAGGGAGTTATGGAATGGCTGTGAATGGTTGTGTGAGTGTATATGAGTATGGTTATAGATCACTGAAATGATTGCATCTTTAATTTCGTTGTACTATGTACAATGACAATAAAGTATATTATTATTATTATTATTATTATTATTATTATTACTATTATTATTATTATTATTATTATTTATCATGTTGTACACCGCCCTGAGCCCAGTCCCTCCAGGGTACGACGGTCTAAAAATCAGATTTAATAAATAAATAATAAATCATTCCACTTTTGAACTAACGGAAATTGATCATTTTGGAAGATAAAAAAGAGAGGCAGATAGAGAAAGCTGAGTATAGTAGGAAGGATGGAGTAAAGTAGGAAGACGTGGATGAATGAATGTCACTGCGAGTTGGAAAAAATGGATAAGCTAGAAGATGCAAAGAATAAAAGAAGGACAGGTGATAAGGAAGAGCTGTGTCATTTCCCTGCCTGTCTCTCTGGAACTCACCATTCTCTGTCTGTAGCTTGGCCCGCTGCGTGGTGAGGTCATTAACCATCCGTTGAGTCTCTTCAGACTTGGTCCGGTGTTCGTTCATTTGGTCTTCAAACGTGCGGCACATCTTCTCCAGGTTGGCCTGAAATCCAACAAAGAGAAAGAGCTGGTGAGAAAAAAATTAAAGGGGCAGGAAGAGGATAAAGAAGAAAAAAAGCGAAAGGAGGATGGATGCGTGGACAGGTCGGTAGGCATTCAGATGGTTAGAGATACACAGAAAGAAAGAAAAACTACATGAAGAAAAGGAGAGAGAAGGTGACTGAGAAGAAGAGCAAGAAAACAAAGTAGGTAAGAAGACAACCAAAGAAAGACAAGAAAAAGGAGATAGTCAAGAATTGAACAAATGGGAGATGTCAGATGTAGAAATGTTTTAATTTTGGAAGGAGGTATGCTGGCTCCCAAATTTACCCCTTCCCAACCTTGTATCCGTCCAAATTGACTCCAAACGTTTCCTAGTCCCTCCTCCATTGATTCTAGCTCCTCCTCCTCAGATCTTGACATCACCATCTTCCCCTGCTCCGCCCCACAAATGGCCCCACCTCTCCCTCCTCTAGTCCCAACCTTGGCTTTCATGAGTTGCTCCATGTTGGAGGTGACGTCGTCCAGCTCCAGCTTGAACTCGCTCTTCTCCTTCTCCAGCTTCTGCTTCACCCGCTGCAGGTTGTCGATCTGCTCGCCCAGCTCTGCCACCGAGTCGGCGTGCTTCTTGCGCAGGGTCGCCGCCGTGGCCTCGTGCTGCAGCGTGGCCTCTTCTAGGTCGCGACGCATCTTCTGGAACTCGGCTTCTCGCTTCTTGTTCATCTCAATCTGCACCGAGGTGGCGCCACCCGCCTCCTCCAGCCGCTCGCTGATCTCCTCCAGCTCCCGGGAGAGGTCGGACCGCTGCTTCTCCACCTTGGCCCGGGCCGTGCGCTCGGCCTCCAGCTCTTCTTCCAGCTCCTCGATCCGTGCCTGCACCGGGGAGAAAGAAGCCATGCTTTTAGGGAGATTGAGATCAGGGACCCCCAATGTGGTGTCTAAGGGCACCCTGGCTCCAGCTAGGGATACCATTCCCCAGGTGGGGGCAGGGGAATCCCCACTTCCGTGGGCTCCTGCCCGCCGTTGGCCAGCTGGCCAGCGGGAGGAGATTCCCCCCACCCCCGACACTGTGCGTGATGCGCTGATGTCACTTCCTGGTTATCCGGTTCCAGATAACATGGGGGGATGCAACGCTCTGCTTTTTGGACAAAACTCTATGGTTTGAGGCTGTTTTTACCATAGAGTTTTGCCCAAAAAGCAGAGCGTCGCCCCCGACGTCACTTCCGGGTGATGTCAGCACATCACGCGGTGTCCCTGCCCACCCCCAGAACACCCCCCAAATCCCCCTGCTAGCATGACAAAGGGACTTGGCAACCCTAGCCCCCGCTGAGACCTTTCCTGGCACCTGCCAAGTGTTTTTAGAAAGTGGGCGGGGTTAGGCAGCACTTTTACCCAGGAGGGCTTCTGATTGGCACTGAGGATTTGACTGGCGGTGCCGTTTTTTTAAGAAGTGCTGCTTTGGCGGCAGCTGCCACCACAGCCCAAGGATCTTCACCCCACTAATGTGTATGCAAGACAAGATTTCTAAACAATGTGATGCTCGTTTTTAAAAGGCATCCCGCTTCTGCCTGAAACGTTGAAGAGTTATGTGTGGCCTTGCTCCCTGACAGTTTATAACAGGGTGGCCAAACTTACTTAATGTAACAGCCACATAGAGTAAACGTCAGATGTTTGAGAGCCGCAAGACATGAACAAATATTACACACACGTTTTTATAAAAATATGCGGATTTGCTTTTTATTAACATTAAATTAGATTGTGTGAAAGAGCCACATGTGGCTCCGGAGCTGCAGTATGGCCACCCCTGGGTTATAAGCAAATCTGCCTCTTGCGGCAGCCATTTTGTGGTTGGCTCCACCTCCTGCGGCAGCCATTTTGTTCTCATGCCCACCACCTTGGGTCAGAATTCCAAAGTGGCTTGCAGGCTGAGAAAGGTTGGGGACCCCCAGCCTTAAGGCATTGAAAGAGTTTTGTTCCAGAGTTTAAAAGAGGAAAACACTAACGTTGGCCTAAAAGCCCCCAGACAACTGCTCATCTTTTACCTGCAGCTCTTTGAGCTTCTTCTGCAGCTGGATGCCCAAGGCCTGCTCGTCTTCAATTCTTGCATTCAGTGCATTGAGCTCAAAGTCTTTCCTGGGAATAAGGATAAGAACAAAGATAAGGACCAAGGCTTTGCAGCAGCCAAAGAAACACGTGGCACCATTCGTACCCTGTTCCTGGCAGGGGGAGTGGACAGTAGACCCGGCCCCTTACTTTTTCAACTTCTCGTCCAGCTGCTGTTTGTCATTCTCTAAATCCATGATGCTCTCTTGCGTCAGCTTCAAGTCACCTTCCAGCTTCCTCTTTGCCCGTTCCAGGTCCATCCGGATCTTCTTCTCCTGCTCCAGCGAGCCTTCCAGCTGAGGAGCAAAGAACGGCGGTCAAGAAACGGCTCCTCCCAAGAGCGACTGGACTCGTCCAACACCAGAGACAAGAGTCTTCCTCCTCCAGTCCCATTGCTACGATCGCGGTACTTACATCGTCGACCTGTTGCTCCAGCTTGGCCTTGGCTTTCGTTAGGACGTTGACCTTGTCCTCTTCTGCCTGTAGGTCATCCAGGGCTTGTTGGTGGGCTTCCTGGAGGGCCTTCTTTTCCTTGGTTAGCTTGACGATGATCTCATCCAGGCCAGCCATTTCCTCTGTGAGGTTCTTAACCTGTGACCATATTGGAGTTTGCAGTATTAGCTAGCTGAAGCAAGCAAAATTCAGGATGGGCCACGGGAAGGCCAGTCTCCAGGTGGGACCTGGGGATCCACCAGCATTCCAGCTCGTCCCCAGACTACAGAGATCAGTTGCCATGGAGAAAATGGATGCTTGGAGGGGGGACGTGATGGCACTGCACACCACTGAGGTCCCTGTCCTCCCCAGGCACCGCCTCCAAATCCCCTGGAGTTTCCCAACCTGGATCTGGCAACCCTGGATGTAGGAAGCTGGTGTTCAGCCGAAGGCACTGAGTCGGACCCCAACTTGACATGGCATTATATTTGCAAACCTTTATGATTTTCTGTATGGTGTTGGATTCAATGTACCTTGTTTCCAACTGACCTTCCCCCTGGGAAGGGGCTCCTGTTATCCCTCAAAATGAGCTTCCGCCAGACCCAGTGAGCCAAGGGGATGAGCCAAGCCATTTCCTCCAGTTTTGCAAGCCTTTCAAATAGTGCTTCGTAGAACTGTGAAGCCCTCAAATTCAGCTTCACTATGTCAGGCACGCAGCCTAGTTCAGATAAACAACTCTATGAAATCGAACTAGACTAACTTTAAAGATCACCCATTACTAGCCTTGGACATTTGTCCCAACACGATGGTGGCCCTAAAGGCCAATAGATCTAAGATGGTGCACTCAAAGGCTGTGTTTCAGACCACAGGAATTGGCACCATAATTGGCACCGAAACCTGGTGACTCTGCACTCAAAGGCTGTGTTTCAGACCACAAGAATTGGCACCATAATTGGCACCGAAACCAGTTAAAGAAACCTGGTGGCGCTCAGAGGTTCCCAAAAGCTAGGGTTGCCAACTTCCAGGCAGTGGCTGGAGATCTCCTGCTATTACAGCTGATCTCCAGGGGACAGAAATCAGTCCCCTGGAGAAAATGGCTGCTTTGAAGGTGGACTCTATGGCATTGTACCCCATTGAAGTCCCTCTCCTCCCCAAACCCCGCCCTCCTCACGCGCCACCTCCCAAATCTCCAGGTAGTTTCCAACCCAGAGCTGGCAACTCTGCCAAAAACATTCATTTCTGGAACACCAGGGACAATCCACCAGCCAAGCCCTCCACACAATCCAGTTGATGCCAGCAAAGCTCCTTGGGTGATACAGTGAAGACAATTTTGGGCTCAACTCAAATAATGGCCCCTTCCTTTCTCCATCTTCACCTTGTTCTCCGTTGCGTGCTTCTCTTTCTCCACCTTGGCTAGAGTCAACTCCAAGTCATCGATATCCTTCTTGAGCTCCGAGCACTCATCTTCAAGTTTCCGCTTCTTGGCTGTCAGCTCAGCATTCATCTCCTCTTCGTCCTCCAGACGCTCGGTCTGTTCCTTCACCTTGGCCTCCAACTGGATCTTGTTTTTGATCAGCTGGTCGCAGCGTTCTTCGGCATCTGCAAGATTGTCTTGCTCCTGATAACGAGGAAATAAGAGAGCAGAAAGGTTCATGTGCCAAAGTCTCTTATCAACCAAGAATATTTTGCTTTTGGTTGCTTATCTCTCACACTTTGGGGGTTGCAGACAATATTCTTCTTGCCCCCAAGGAAGCTCCGTGTGAGCAAACTTGATGCTTCACATACACGGAGCTCTCAGAATGCTCCATAACTCACCGCCTGGACTTGCAGCTGTAGGTCATTCTTCTCCTGCAGCAGGGAGACCATCTTCTCCTCCAGCTCTTTGCGACGACCCTCTGTCTTCTCCAGAGCTTCCTTCAGCCTCGCGAGCTCTTCCTTCAGGGCCGCCAACTCCTTCTCCGTCTCCGCACTCTTCAGCAGTGGCTTGATCTTGAAGAATAGCCTCATCCATGGCCAGTTCTTCACTACCATGAAGGCTCGGATGTTGTACTGGATCACCAGCAGAGATTCCCTGGATGTGGGGAAGGGAGGGAGGCAGTTTGGAATCAAATGTCAGCATGCAAGAACTCCAAAATACCACCCAGATAATGACGTTGCATTCCGCAAGAAGGTAGCTCACCCATAGAAGTGCGTAGAAACAGGGCCAAGAACATACGACTATATGAAGCTGCCTAGAGAGGTGGTGAGCTCTCCTTCACTGACAGCTTTCAAGAAGAGGCTGGACGAATATTTGTCAGAGATGCTGTAGGCTGGTCTTGCATTGGGCTGGGGGTTGGACTAGAGGGTCTGTAGGGCCCCTTCCAACTCTATGATTCTATGAAGCTGCTTTATATTGAATCAGGCCATTAAGAACATAAGAACATAAGAGACGCCGATGTGGGATCAGGCCAAAGGCCCATCCAGTCCAACACTCTGTGTCACACAGTGGCCAGAAATATCAGGTGCCATCAGGAGGTCCACCAGTGGGGCCAGGACTCTAGAATTCCTCACACTGTTGACCCCCCCAAGCACCAAGAAGACAGAGCATCACTTGCCCCAGAGTCCCTATGTATACCTTGTGGCTAATAGCCACTGATGGACCTCTGCTCCATAGGCTTATCTAATTCCCTCTTGAAGCCGTCCATGCTTGTAGCCGCCACCACCTCCTGTGGCAGTGAATTCCATGTGTTAATCACTCTTTGGGTGAAGAAGGACTTCCTTTTATCCGTTCTAACCTGACCGCTCAGCGACTTCATGGAGTGCCCACGAGTTCTTGTATTGTGAGAAAGGGAGAAAAGTACCTCTTTCC